TGCAGAAGAATAGTGTAGACCGCCTCAAAATGCAGCCCAAGGGAAACTGTCATTCAGAGTTTAGTTCTCACTGCTCTAAGATAACAATTTGGATCTGACCCCGCTATCCTGCATATCATGCTTGTGTTAGTTTCTTTAGTTCATTTTTTCCACTTTATTTTTGAGACCTGGGACAAAACATGTTTGTACCTCCTTTTGGGATTAAATAACTTCATTTTGAAATGAATCATTTCATTTTTCACTTTTTTGACAGAAATGTTGACAATACCTATCCTTAGATCATAAATAAAATTAATAAATACAGTAATATATTAAATCAATATGTACTTATGTATAAAATCATACTAATATTATAATTTCACAAGTTATATAATAACATTTGATATATTTTTTTATTCATAATGCTTGTTTTCTGTGTCACCTCCATCACCCATACATTTATTTTATGTATTATTTTTATATTCAGAAACTGTTAGCAACATTTATTTTTTTAAAACATTAATAAATCAGTTATTTATTGTCAGTTTCTGCTTTATGGTAAAATCAGTGCATTATTAATTCTTTCATTAACTGAAGTAAATGCTAGATTTCAAAACCAAGCAGGCGTCAATCAGCCGCTCTAAAGCAAATGTGTTCCTTTTTGATTATTTGGTGATATTTCACAAGATTGTCCACAGACCTCACCAAATACTGCAAAATATCCACGTTTGTGTCAACCTGGACATCTTGCAGTAAATGTAAACAAAGTTGTGAAATGGTGTCTTTTCAACATGTATTTGATATAATTTCTAAATTCACTCTGCAAAAATTGTGTTATGCAACATTGCCATGAACATTCCGTGACCTCAACCAATCACAGCATAGAATCCTCTGTCTACACTGGGATCATCTAAAGGTGTCTTTCTGTTAATTAGTGTTGGGTTCCCTGTATTAGCAAGTGTCCTGGCAGTTCTGGTGCTGGCAAATGTGAAACCGTATGACAGCATGAGCAGGATTGGAGAAGCGCTGTCATTATATTAGTAATAGATCGCTGAAGATCTGTCATCTTTAGACCTGTCCATGTGGGAGGCTGTCTGGTAATCGTAGGGATCTCTTTAAAATACAGCGCTTGTCACTTTCCAGAGCTGCCACGAAATCGCTCACACCTTCTGTGATGTGGGTTATCACTTTCAATGTGCCAAGACTTCCTGTACCTACTCAGTCTGGAATAGACACACAAAAAAAAAACTAAACGTGTTTCTTATATGAGGGTTAATACTAGCACATTTGGCTGCATCTTAATTTAACCCTTAAAATGCATACCTCAGGTCTTTAGCGACCCGGGACATCATTCTCTACCCTCTCCCTCCTTCATTTTTTTAAGTTAGACATCAACTTTCTTAGTATTCCTTAATCTATTAATTATAAACAATATAACAACAAAAAAATAGTAAAATATAAAAGAATGCCAGTTTTCTGATAAATTTTTTGTAAAAAGTGTATAGGGTCGCTAAAAACCCGAGGTATGTAAATGTGTATGTATTTTTTCCTGCGCAACTATATTTACATATCTGATGACTCAATATGTGCAATGCATCTTTTTTCCTCAAGGTGGCACTGTTTGATACACAATGATGACGTGACGTTTCACTCATAATTACCGCAAAAGGTAACGAAATATGCTTTATTTTATTCTTCTGTAATTGTTCTTAAAATATCAAGAGAGTTTTTTTGCTATTGCAGCAGTTAGAGATCCATCCGTGCTGGATATATAGGTCCGGGTCGCTAAAGACCCGAATATGTTATAATGATTGACGAAACATTCATGCATTTAAGGGTTAAACATTTGGTGTATGTGCTCTTATTATTATCTTATGCAAATCCAACAGATGGCACAGGACCATTGAACTCACATGAGGAAACCTCATGTTTTACCTCCTTACAAATCTTTATTTCCTTACAAATGTACTTTTCCACACAAATTTTGCTTTACTAAATGTATCTTCTGCTATTTGTCTGAAGCATTCTGACTAGTATTTTTTTTTTCTAAATAAAAAAGGTCCTAAAGGAATATTTTGGAGTGTTGACGTACCTCACTATTTGCACAGGAATGCAGGACACTCAAAAAAAAAATTCTCTTTTGCTTAATATTTCTTGGATGATAAAATGTGACTGGAAGTGTCAAGTGCGCATTGATAGTAAATATCTCAAAAATAATGTTTGATTATTTGATCTAATGATTATAATTATGAATATGTAATAATTGTGCCAGTCCCAGAAATAAAATTTTTCGAAAATTTAAAGGAATATTTGAGGTTATTTACCATGTAGAGGAATAGTCCAACCAAAAAATAAAATTTTGCCATCGTCCTGTCATCCAAAACCTTTCTTCTATGAAACATAAAAGATATTTTAAAATATATCTCTGTTTTTTTTTTTGTTTTTTTTGTCCATACAGTGAAAGTCTGTGGGGCGCAGTGTTGTTTTAGATCCCAATGATTTTCTTTGTAAAGGCAAGGACATTTAAATGATGACTAATTGAGCTATTAAGCTCTATCAACCGTTGTTGCATGCTGTGGATTACCACATAAATGATTGCAAAACATTTTAGGCAGTTACATAACAGTATGGTTCAATGTGACTAAATCCAAGAATCCAAAAATTTTGTCAAAACCGAATGGTGTTCTCCTTAATTTTGTATGCTGAAATATAGATTTCCCCCATCCAGTGGAAGTTGGGTTGTCTCTTTTCCTGTTTTCAGCTGTTGTTTCTTGGGTTATTTACACTCAAGTGTTTCCCACTATCCAGACTCACACTTGATTTGGCAAGATAGTTTCACAGAAGATGCCAGAATCCGGAGCATCACTGTTCCCATAATAGGCATGTTTTATTTTATTTGTTTATTTATTTTTTTAGAGTACGTGGGAAGTCTGTCTTTTTCTCTATACCACATGTCGCCATTTCAGTGTTCTCTCAGGGTTTCTGTCACAGGAAGTCAGTAGGAAGTGTTGTAGTTGTGTCATGTAGGTTAAGGAGTCAGTACTCTGTAAGCTTCTCAGTAGGTTCGTTCTCAGGGAAACAAGAGCAGTAGCATTTGTCAGTTGTCTTTACATTTGTCATGTCACATTTTTTTCCTTAATGTGTTTGCAGTTCTTTGAAGCGCTTTTAAATCAAAGCTTTGAGACGTGGCGACGTATGAAACCTCATTTTAACCACATCAGCGCATCTGCATTTAAAACACACTGCATTGTTTCGATGTTGAATTATCTGTTGCGTCTGCATAGCAGCTGTAGTTTATCTAACAGTAGCATCCCCTGAATGTAAATATGGTCTTTGTACGAGCTCAATAGACTGACCCACTTTCCTTTTTTACACAATTGTTAGCAGTACGATAAAAGCTTTGTATTCACCGATCAGCAATGTTCTAAAAAAAAAAAAAGTATGGCATACAAATGTTCTTAATGTGTGTTGAGTATAGAGGTATATATTGATTGGTGTGTGTGTATTTATATATATATATCATAAATAATTATTTAATATAGATTAGGACTGCACGATATATCGAAAATATCGAAATATCGCAAATGTAAATATTGCGATATGCATATCGCAACGGCGTGCGATATTTGAATCATTTTAATAATAGGCTACTTAAATCAAAACGTTGCAAAAGGTCAAAGTTTTAGTTCGACGCATATAGCAGAGAATTGCTTGACGTTAAAAAGAATTATTAAGTGCAATAAGTTGCAGAAAACAACTCTTTGCCGTCTCGTCTTGCTGTCTGACAGACTCACACCTGAAGCGCGCACAAACCGCATCTCGCGCAGCGTATCTTCCGTTCTGCCGCACACGAGTTGATTCGTCTTTCGCATCTCCTCCTCATGTTTGAACAGAAAGAAAGAATGTGAAACAAATTGGTTATATAATTTTCATTTTTAAATATTTTAAAATATAACTTAAATAGATTTTTCACACTTTAAACAATATTGTATCGCATATCGAATATCGCATTTTTTAACAAGGTATCACGTATTGCATTTTTTTTCAATATCGCACAGCCCTAATATAGTTATATATTTTATTCATTATAGTCCGTTGTGGTCAGAGGTAGAATATCTGGTTGGAGTGGAGGCCACCTAAGACAGAAATGATAGATTGAGCATTTTGGGGTTATGGTGAAACATGACCTACTTGGACCAAACACTCTCACCCCCAATAGAATAAATCTCTCGGTGCAGTAAGGGTCAGAGAGGAGCGACCCCCGGCCCCTTTAGTTTAAGCTGCCCCGTGCCTGTGACCAACAACAGTGTAATCCGACCCCCAGCCTTGCACACTTCGTTAAGCACTACCATCTGTTTTTCTGCTTTGTTCCTGCCCGTCACTTTCTTCTCTTCTCTGTTTTGGGGTCGTCCTGACCGTCTCTTATCTCTGGTCCCGAAGATGTTAATGACGTTACAGTCTGTACATGCACTCTAGTGAAAAAGGGGGACCTTTTCTTTTGGAAACCAGAAGCTGGCTTTCCTCAAAGTCACTTCAGGCTTGGCCGGGATTCTTGACCTGGATATGCTCTGGACCAGTAAGCCTAACCCTCTCGTTTAACGGTTTTTCATTCTCTGCTTGTGCAGGCCTTGCGTGTGTGCATGCGACACATGCACTTCCAACATTTTTAACTGCACTGAGCAGGGAACACAGAACGTTGGGTTTAGTGGTTTCTTGCTGCTCTCGCTCGCTCCCTCCCTCCTTTTGTGGTGTTTGGACTCTGACTTTTCAGACTCCTCATGGTTCCTGTTAAAGCTTGAGCCAGCGGTTTCTCTGAAGCTCAGCAGAGCAACCAAACCGCCGTCGGAGTCCTCTTCTCCCCATTCACTGACAGCCACAAACTGTTCTGAAGGAGAAAAGAAGCAGGGTGCTCATTTTCCGCCGAGTCCTTGCGACTGCAAGGGCCCTTACAACGAACCGATCAGACTCTCCCTTCTCACTGTTCTCCTGTGGAGCTGGACCCCAGCTGTTTTGTTTGGATTATGGATTTCGCTTCGACAGTCAGGAAGGCATGTGCCGGGACTAGGGCCAGATGCACGTGGCAGAGGAGGAAGCGGTCTCGCCCGTATGACCGCACAGGACGAGCCAGCCTAGGCGCGACAAGACCAAGTCGGACCTCTTCGCTTTTCAGTCAATGGATGTCTCACTTCTGCTGTACATCTCGGGCCTGTACGTCCAGTCTGAGTCTGTCTGATCAGTCCTTGCTGCAGTCAGGATGCTGCACCAGTCCCAGAGGTGCACAAGATATCGTTGGAGATGGAAGAGATGGACAGAGAGAGGTGTACGGAGAGGAAGTTTGGGTGGGAGAAGTTGCGGATGACGAGGAAGGGAAGGATGAGAACGAGGAAGAAGAAGAGCAAGAAGATGATGATGACGAAGAAGAGGAGGACAGTAAAGAAGAGAAAGGTGAGGTGGAGATGGAGAAAGGGTTGTTGAAGGAAAGATGGTTCTGGGGTTAAAAGAGGACAACTGGAATGCCAACCGCTCTGCCGTTCTTATTCTATCCTCCAATAACACACGTGTTGACCTTTGATTCATGGGAACGTGATGCTCCCACGCGGGCCGAGCATCAGTTAGAGTGATGGAGATGGACTGGAGACCTGCCTGTGGTGTAATCTGTCTCGATTAGAGGAGATTTCAGAGTAGATGGGATGTACGCATGGCTGGGGTGTGAGTTGGTGGAAAGGAAGCGAGAGCTATGACTGATGGACGCCACTGTGGCCTTCAGATGGCAGTCATCATTAGTACCGCTTACCTTGTTGTGGTCACATGGGTTTTGTTCACACTGCAGGGCAAATAAAAATTTTTTAGACCATCTTTAGCCTTTTTTCAGTTCAGACTTCAGTACTTTTGCTAGCACATCCACGTTGGTTATCGTAATAACATGGAAAACTCGTAGGTTCACCTTTAACAATTTTTGACATGATTTGTTTATTATTATGTATTAGGAAACGGGAAAGGGTGGACATTATCATATCATCAATTCTCATCATATTCTCTGTTTTCCTTTTATTTTTGTCTTCCATTCACATAGCTCAAACAGTAGAGCATGGCTCTAGCAATGCTAAGGAATGCATGAACTGATAAAATTTATATCCGGATACAGCAGAATTCACCTTGGATAAATGCACAAAAGTCAATGTTATTTTGTAGCTAAATATTTAAACTTCTCAAATTCACTTGAGAAGTAACACAGTGTGAGACTTGTTTTCAGAGAATGTATTTTTTTTACTGCACTGACAGATTTTTTCCCCCCACTTATTTTAAAGGTAATCATTTACTCATGCTCATGTCGTTTTAAACCAGACTTCTGTGGAAAACAGATATTTTGAAGAATGTTGATAACTGATTTGTTTTGGTTACCATTGGAAAAAGAAAAGAAAAAAACAGAGACATTGTCTTATTTTGTGTTTCACAGAAGAAAGAAAGTAGTACAGGTTTAGGATGACACAAGAGTGAGTGAATTATGTAAGAATTTTCATTTCTTGCGTTAGAACCAAGTAAAAAAATACACTCTAAAAATGCATTTTCTAAAAACAAGTCTTAATATAATAAAAACAAGTCTTATGCAGTGTTGCCTCTCAAGTAAATTTATCTTGCTTTAAAGAGTGCTAGATTTTTTTAATGAAGAACAAGTCAAAGAAGCCTAATTAAACTCACATTAAGAAGTCTTTTTTCCAGTGCATAATAAATGTTTATTGCTGCTGTCACTGCGGGTACATTTAATGACAACAAATTACAAGAAAAAATAATGTAAGATTGTTTAAAATTAGACATTTAATAAAAAAAAATTTAATCAGATTTCAAACAACTTTTTTTATCAGACTAGATTTCATATAAGTTTCTCCTGTTCAGAAATAGGAAAAACAAAAATGATTCATAAAGGCAAAGAAAATGCAGTTTTGCTACCTGTTTGAAAAAGGTAATGGTTAAATTTTAGAATTGTTCAGTTGTGTAGTTTTTAGGACAGTGTTCAGGTTTTAGGCTGCACTGAAACAGTCAGTTTATGTCTAAAATATTCATTGTTACCATCAAATGTGATTTATGACTTGGAAGGTAAAGGGGCTAGAAAACTTGTTAACAGACATTATAGGTACTGTAATACAAAGGAAATCTGATTAATCTCAGTGCAATGGTAGTACAAGATGCTCTGTAAACCGGCATGGGTTAGCTGTCTCAACCGGCCACTTAAATTCTGGAAAGCAGACTCAAGTGTTTCCACTCATTTGACACTGCATATTTCATGCTTAAAATGTCTCACAATGACAGACCAGCTTTTTCTCTGACCTATTTATTTAGCCAAGAGTTTGTTTGCAAGGCTCTTTGTTGTTCTTTTTTTTTTCTCGTGCCTTCTATTTCTAAACCACCAGCACAACCGGTCCGCAGCTTGGTGCTTGGCTTGTTAGTTGTGCCGCCCTGTTCAGACAGCCACCCTGTCATCGTGCAGCCATCTTCTCCTCCCTGTGAGCCTCGGAGCTTTGCTTGGTTAACTCAAACCAGCTTTGGGACGTTATTTTCGGACATGGACTTTTTTTGGAGCGGCATTGCTTGCAGGCAAATGTAATTCAGCCCATCCAATTGTGTTTGGTGTCTCCTCTCTCTGTCTCTCGTTTTGTTTCTCTCCATTTATGTCCCTTTTTTAAACCCCTATCTCTAAGCATTATACTTCTGCACGGTTTGTGCTAAAGACATGGATAATACCTCAAATCATGTCATGTCAACTATCGTTCTATCCATCGTCCATCCATCCGTCCGTCCGTCTGTCTGTCAGTCATTTTATCTATCGTTCTATCCATCCATCCATCCATCTATCTGTCTACCCGTCTGTCGTTCTATCCGTTGTTCTTTCTGTCATTCTATCATTCTATCTATAGAAACATGCTGACTACTTGGAACACCTTAGCTATCCCCTAGCAACCACTCAGAACACCCTAGGAACATACAACTACTTAGAATAGCTTAAGAATTAGAATAACTCCCCAGAGCACCTTAGCATCAAAACGGCAACTTTTGCCTGGTCTTGCACCATATTTTCTTAAAGGTGCAGTATGTAATATTGACAGCTAGTGGTTGAAATGGGTACTGCAGTCCATATTCAAAATATTGGAGAAAGTTGTTTCTCCCGTCCCCTCCTCCTCACACTCGATGCTCACACGGGTTGCCAGATGCAACAAGGAATGAGCGCAGCTGGCAATGTTAGCCATCAAGCCTTACAGTGTTTGGTGATGATTTGTTTTATCCGTGTTTAATATTCTGCTTTTTAGGTCCGGTAGAATTGGTGATCTCTGAACCAGTTCGTTTGCTGGCTTCAATGGCTGCAATACACTGTGTTTCCCACCAACTGGCAACCCAATGTGTTGAAATACTACTGGGTAAACTGTCAGTGGGCAGAATCAAACAGACCAAAACAAAAACAGACATTCCGACACGGAACATACATTTCAAAGCAGAATAACTGCCATTGTTTTTCGGAGAAACAAATATGGCCATGTACATAATTCACTAAAATATGGGAGTGACAACCGTATTCGACAACCGCATTAACACCCGAAAAATACAGGTTGCGGCAACCGCATTTAAACAAATTCTATGCAGTGTGTACGGAACCGAACTGAACAGCTAGTTGTTAATGATGATGTCACGAGAAGCACGCCAATGTGCGTGTATTGTCAGGCATCAAGTGTTTACCTCAGATCTGACAGGATGGCAGAGAGAGGTGTATTGTGGACCGAGCAGTTGTGGTCAAGAAAGTGTAGGCTGTTCAATAACAACAGTTTAAAAACAAAACTAGATTACGACGCCTCTCCCGACGATGGCGATTTTGTGGATTTTCGCATGTGTTTGCAGTCTAATGTTTGATTTGTCAACAGCAGCTAACACAAAACTAGCTAATCTGCGGGCCTCCATTCTCTCCGAGACGCCACAACGTTGCTATGGTTACCACGCTGCCATTCATGGCAGTTTCGGGAGTGAGTCATGTTCCATACACACATAGAACGATAATTTACGGGGCTCACACCCCTATTTAAATGTTGTTGTCATTGCTGAAACTTGCAGTGTGTACGTGGCAATGTGTGAACTTAGCATGTCTCCTAAATGTCTGCAAACAAGTTATGATATTTTTATGCTTTAGTACAGTCAAAAAATGACATACAACACCTTAAATAACAAACAAACAAATATAACAAAGTCCAGTTAGAGATTAATGTTGCCCAGGATGCCATGTAATGTGTGCTTGAGAAGGAGAGTTGGCTGCCCTGCAGTTTAATGGGACGGTATGCAGTCTTTTGCTTTAAGTGTAGGAAACCCTGTGTCTGAGGCAAAGGAATGATATTTGAATTATTAGATTATTAATAGCAACCCTGCTATTAGAAGTTCAACAATTCTATTTTTTCCCCCTTTTTGCTGAGTGTTACATTCTCTGCTACGCTAGCAGCTTTTTGCATGTGGTTTTGTTAAAGACTGTGTGTCATTTCTTGCCTTTATACGGCAGTGATTTCTGCTCCGATTTTAAAAGCCCAGCAGTGCATATCAAGAGCTGTAAGTCAAACCTCTGACACTGGACCAATCAGCATTTTCATTCCTATAACTGATGCAGCTCTGTAGGTTTTACAAGAGGCAGTGGCATGACGAATGATGAGGTTTAAACCCCTGCAGTGCTGAAGTTTTTTTGCTCTCGTGAAAGCACAAACAACACGTTTTCCCGTGGGACCGTCCTCGCCCAGGGGGGTCCGAAACAGGAAGCAGAGCTGATTTTGTTGCTCTGTGGTGGAGTGAAAGAGTGGAACTTTAAGCGGCTCCCATGGGGGCGTTACAGATGAGACGTACGACTTAAACATCTGAGGTTTGTGGTGACGTCATTGATTTAGTCATTTTGAATAGCAGACAGAAACCTCAGGGCACTATACAGTGATTTGTTATTTTTTTAAGGCACTTTCATGGATTATCACTTACTAGGGCTGTTGATTGATTAAATAATGCAATCAAACTAATTGCATGATATGCTGATTGATTAAAGGGGTCATATGATGCGATTTCAAGTTTTCCTTTCTCTTTGGAGTGTTACAAGCTGATTGTGCATAGATAAGATCCCTGAAGTTGCAAAGACTAAAGTCTCAAAACCAAAGAGATATTCTTTATCAAAGTTAAGACTCTGCTGAAATTAATAATATATATGAATATTTATTATAAAAGTCTATCCATAATTATATCATAATTGTTTTTTTTATGAATTAATGAATTAGTATATTATTTAAAATATTAAAATATTATTATTTATATGTAATTTATATTAAACCTATTCATTTTTAATTAATTTTTTATTTTACTTATAGGTGCTTATCGTACTAGGGATGGGAAGATTCCCCGATTCGCTCAGTGCATCGGCATAAAAAGTTAGCGATGCA